TTCTTTCTTCTTCTAGTTGAGTTGTGATCATACAGCCATTGAAGCCAGGTCAAATGGGTATTACCTGCAAGTGTGGGTGTTCTTATGGATATGCCCTCTCTTCTTATCAGTTGGACGCTTCACTCTCCATTCTAGTCCTCTGTGGCTATGTCACTGTCTCTGGGCCCAGGAGTCCTCAGGTCTTGCCATATTGCTGGCCAAACAGGTCTCCATCCAGGTTCACAGGAGTCTATTGAACGTGGTAGGACTTAGCTCACAGCTTCATTGCTGTTTTTCCCTCACTTCCCCTTATTGGTGACGAACGTGGTCACCAGTCAGAGCGCATGTTTACTGGTGTATTCCCATTGAGTCTTAGTCTTGGAAGGGGGTTTCCCTGAGGGAACCCGAACACTTGCCTTTGTGTCTCCTTGGTGATCAGCTTGCTTTTCTTGTAGTAGTCAGTTGGACTGCCGTTATTGTTTCATATTTTTCCTGTCGGTCTTTCTTTCAAGAAGTACTTCTGTTCTTCTAGCCACTCCAGGCTGGTCTACTTGTCCTTTCCAGTGGAAATTTCCCACCTCAGAAGATTCTGGATGGGGTTCAGGATTCCACCTATGGTCTTATACAATGCAGAGGCTCTGCAGGAAGTCTCCTTCACTTGGCAAGTTGTGGCCTCATTTTAGGTATTCCAATCAGTCATAGGCAGAAGACGCACTTACAAGTTTTCTGTGGTGATATTTCTGGCTATTCCTTTCTCTCCCCCTCAAGTGTCTGTTTTATAATGGTATGCAAGGGACACCAAGATTCAAAAGACACCCAAGCATCTTATCACTATTTTCCCCCTTATACCCATTCAAACCATGCTGCAATCCCTGTATCCCAGAACCCTGTTGTTCCAAGGTTGTGCATACACCATTATTTACCTCTGTCCCACTTAGCCCATGCAAAGTTGCCTAACTGTTCTCCCATCCACCTCTTCCATTACTCTACCTTTCATGTGTATTGCCCTCCTACCTAGCGCCCAAACTATCCTTTGTCTATTCCCTACCCTGTGCTCCACTTTCCCCTTCCTCCCCTCATCCTACCCCCCACATCCCTGTAACCAGCAAAGAATTATAAACCCCCACCCCTTTTAGTATGGGTTCTTTTTTTTAAGTCTTTTGCAATAGTGGTCCTATGCAGTATTTCTCCTTTTGTGACTGACTAATTTCACTCAACATAATGTCCTCAAGGTTTATCTACGTTTGTTATGTGGTAGTTTACAGCTTCCTCGTTATTCTTCAAGGTAGCATAATATTCCGTTGTATGTATGTACTACAGTTTGTTTATTCATTCTTCAGCTGATGGGCACTTAAGACTGTCTCCACCTTTTTGCTATTGTAAATAGTGCTGCTATGAACATTGGTGTCCATATATCTACTTGTGTTATGACTCGTACTTCTTGTGGGGAAATACCGAGTAGAGGAATTGCTGGATCATAAGGTATTTCTATTTCCAACCATGTATGAGGAAGTGCCATATTGCTTTCCAGAGAGGTTGGACCATTTTGCAGTCTCAGCAGCAATGCTGGAGATTCCCAGTCTCTCCACATCCTTGCCAGCATTTATTGTCCTCTACATTTTTTTTTATCTTTGCTGTTATTGCTAGTGTGAGATGATATCTCATTGTTGTTTTGATTTGCATCTCTCTAATGGCTAGTGTTGGAGGAGAATATTGAAAGTGCCATGGACTGTCAAAAGAACCAATAGATCCATTTTGGTAGAAGTGCAGTCAGAGTGCTCCTTGGAGGCCAGGATGGCCAAACTTCATCTCTCATATTTCAGACATACTGTCAGGAGGGACTAGTCACTGGAGAAGGATATCATGTTTGGTTAGGTGGAGGGTCAAAGGAAAAGAGGAAGACCCCCAACGAGATGGATTGGCCAAATGGCAGCATCAATGGACTCAAGCGTGGCAACAGTAGTGAGGTTGGGCCAGGATCAGGCAGTGTTTCGTTCTGCTATGTATAAGGTCGCTATGGGTCGGTACCGACTCGATGGCACCTAACAACAACAACAACAGATGGCTAGTGATCATGAACATTTCTTTATATGTTTGTTGGCTGCCCTGATCTTCTTGTTGAAGTGTCTGTTCATGTCCTGTGCCCATTTTTTAACTGGGTTATTTGTCTTTTTCTTGTAGAGGTATTGTAGTTGCCTATATTTTTTAGATATGAATGAGTCCCTTGTCTGATGTGTAGTTGTAAAAGATTTTTTCTCATTCTGTGGGGTCCCTTTCTACTCTTCTGGTGAAGTCTTTTGATGCACATAAGTTTTTAACTTTTAGTATGTCCCAATCTTCTATTTTGTCTACTTTTGTTTGTGTAGTTTTCAAAATGTTTGTAGTCTGTGTATTCCTTGAATTAGTGCCCTCATATTTGTCCCTATTTTTTCATTGATGTCCTTCATAATTCTGAGATTTACATTTAGGTCTTTAATCCATGCTGATTTGGTTTTTGTATAAGGCGTCAGGTAAAGGTCTTGTTTCAATCTTTTGCATATCGCTTTCCTGTTCTACCAGCACCATCTGTTGAAGAGACTATCTCTTCCCCATGTTGTGTATTTAGGCAGTTTGTCAAAAATTAGTTGGCTGTATGTAGATGGATTAATTTCTCGATTTTCAATTCTGCACCATTGATCAATGTATCTTTCATTGTACCAGTACCAAGCTGTTTTTGACTATTGTAGCAGTGTAATAAATTTTGAAGTCAGGGAGTGAGAGGTTTCCAACCTTATTCTTCTTCTTAAGCAGTGCTTTGCTTATCCTGGGT